GTCAGAGTGAATCGTTCTCCGGAAGTCGCGCTCCTTTTCCTTCTCGCGTTATATCCGCGTTTCGATTGGCCGCGGAAAAGTCACGTGGCCAATCATGGTGAAACGCAAAGTGCGCAAAGTTCACGAGTTCCGATAATGCATCGAACGGGCGCGCGACCAACGGCGAGCTTTTACGCTTTCGCGCGATTTAAAGAGATATACCCATTGTGAATTATGCCTCGCTTCCCTGTACGATGACGAGCATCTCGTGTCCAGTATTTACGGCCATTGTCTTCGTTCTTCCCAGCTCCGGGCTAGTGCCGCGACCACGATCGTGATCGTTATTGAGGCGCGTGGGTCGTCTTCCTCCTCCTCCTCCTCCTCCTCCTCCTTCCTTCCATGAGATGTGTTTTCAACTTCGCTTGCATGTACGTATTACTCAGATCAATGGTTCCCACGTGTTTCGATAAGACGACCTTACCGCAACTTTTTTTTAACCCTCTCTACCCTACGGCTCCGCTCTTGACGAACTTGATTCGAAAAATTCGATTCGAGGAGGAGGAGGAGGAGGAAGAGGAGGATCGTAGATACATACGACGCGTTTTTAGAAATTTCGAGTGCAAATTTTTCTTCTTTTTTTTCCTGTTTCGACGAGATTACTTACTTTTCCGTCGGATATAGGAGAGAGGGGAATATATTCATATTCATCGCGAAGCGTAGCTTTATAAATATTATATGGCGGTGAATCACTCCGAAACGCGTACGTTTCACCGGCTTTTCCGTCGCGCTTAAAATTTTAATCTCGGGCTAAATCTCGCCGCGATTCTCGCCGGTGACGGTGAAATTCGCTGTTCATTGCTCGAAATGGCTTACCGGATTACCGGTATAAATCTTGGCGATTTACATTTAAGTTCTGGTTAAAGCAAACGAGTTCCGGTTCGCGCGAATGGGTCGAACGGTGAATATTAACCTTGATAATTGTAATAGGCTAGCTCGAGAAAGAAAACATCTCCATTCAAGCTCGAACATCCTCTCTACTCACTCACCACCCTGAGCGAGAAGATGAAGATTTCCAAATCGAAACTCTACGTCGATACAGTTTCTTTCTTCTTTACCCTTTATAAAAAATATACAAAGAAAAGCATTGCTTCGATTCGTGAAATTTATATATCGCGAAAGAATTCCATAGGCAAAAAATAGAAGAGAAGAGAGAATAGAGATTGGACGTCGGTACAGTAATATCCCATTGAGCCCGATCCGAGTGCGTGGCACGACTCGAGCGAGTCGCAATAAAAGTGAGCACGCGGAGGTTTCAACGAATGCAAAACGAATGCTGGTTAACCGGTCGTTAAGCGGACGTCGCCGAAGCAACAAGGTGTGACGCGATCGGTGGATTTGTGGGGAACACATTCGCGCGCAACACCGATAACCCTCGGCTCGAGCGTGCATCACCGCTCGTGTGCATACAGTTATAATTGCCGCGATTCCAAGACACGGTTGCGAGTGCGAGTCTACGATTACCCATTACCCGGATGAATATCTCGGATTACGGCACGCCGGCTAAATAAATTACCAAACCGTCTCTCTTTCTCTCTTTCTTCTTGGTCACACCCCTCTCCTCCCGGTACACACGCCGGTTTGCATATTAACAACGCAGTAATAAGTGTGTACCGGTATAAATCTCGAGCGTCGCGCCGACCGGTCGCGATCCTCCATCTGTGACTTTTTTTTTTTTTTTGCAAATTTTCCACGTTTAATCGGTTATTTATTTAACATTTCAGGTTGATCGTGTCATTATTTTTTGATCAATGATACGATCTGCGACGAAGAAGATTAGAGAAGGGTGCAAATCCAGCTTTGTTGGTCTAGCTTTTGTTTTTTTGGAAAATTCTCTTTAAAGTAAGTTACACCATGTTTACTTATTTCATCGTTGAAGAAATGATCTTGATCCGTTTTCTGAAGCTAAATTCAAAATTTCTTCTTTAATTTCATAGATTTATTCAACACGAGTTCGACGAGAGATCCGTCATCGCTTCTTTGAAGAAGTGTTGCCGAAGAAGAGTCGAGGGAAAGGAACGATTCTCGATCTCCTTAGCATTACCTTTACAAACGCGCTCGTTCTCTTCTAGCGCGGAATGGAAGGGGGAAGGCACGCGGCTGGGGCCAATTTATGCGCCGCGGCGCGCGTAAATTTTGCGCGCGGCTGTACTTTTGCGATCCCCGTGGTCCCCGTGTACGTGAAGCTAGTTATACGGTAACGTTCGCCTCGTTATGAAAGGTTTATTAATTCGAGCTCCCCCTTCCATCGTCCGCTCTCCTCTCTCGCCCCTCGACGGGACGACTCGCCGGCGAGTGGCGGTGGCGAGAGGAGGGCACCATCGGGAAGGCGAAATTTGCCACGGAGCGTTCGAGGACACGTACGCGCGTTCCTTCGCGCGTTCTACATGCGGGGAGGAGGAAAGACGGAGTGAATGCGGCTGATGAACGATTCGATTCGAAAATCACGGGCCCATTGTCTACCGATTCCACATCGATCGAGCGTAATCGAAACAAAGAAACAATTTCAAAAAATTATTCAGATTATTGAACGAGACAAATTATTAAAATATATGTTGAAATCAAAAAATAAGGAACGATCGTTTCCAATGGAATTTGTTTTAGAAATATTACGATTATTAATTTGATATAAATTATCCCCATCTTGTCCTGTATTTATGTAAGCATTTATCGGCTGTTTATCGACCGTTTAAATTATGATCAAATATCCTTACACGTGTGCTTACTAATCGGGGCAAATTAACCCTGATACAACAGCAAGTTAACGGATAATTAACGGATATTTCAACTATCGGACAGATCAAGTCAAACATTATTACGAACGAAAATCAAATCGGTACGTAAATACATCGATTTCCGGTTCGCCGTAATCTCCTCCCTGATCCACGGAGGGGATCGTGCACACGATCCTCCCCTCTCCTTCTCTGTTGGATCCGAACTCGGACAAGATACAATGACTTTTTTATCGAACGGCCGTAATCTTTAGTGGAAACAAAACCTTTCCTCGCTTGAGATTTATCGGCCGCTGTCCGCTCAACACACTAACCAGCGCGCAGCGTAGAGATAACTTTCTCCCTCGTGATAAGCCGTAAGGTATAAATCTGAATTGTTTTTATAATTCCCGTGGAAGAGATGAGGTATCGAGATAACGGGGGATTCTAACGAAGTCTGTAATTTGCAGGCCGCCAGCGAAGCGCGATCCACCGCGAGAGTTGGCGGCCCACCGCGAGATGGATCACGATTTAAACCAATCGACGACGCTCGATAAACCCGAGGAAAAAAGAACGCCATCCTCGTTGCATCCGCAATTGGTAGTAGTTCGTTCGCCTATCGATCGCCTATTAAGCGACTAAGAATCGAACGCCCCTATGGATTCATTTATACACTTTGCCATTTCCTCTGTAATTGACACGCATATTCGATGCTTTACAATTTTCGAAACGAAAAGAAGAGATTGAGATTTTAGAATTCGATATATTTTAAAAGTGTCGTATCTAATTCTAGTCTGCAATCTATTGATCTATTAAGTGGAACGTTTCGAAAGAATTAGATTGCTTGAAATATAAATATATTGCAAAAGGATTTTTTTTTTTTATTAAATTTATATTCGTAGAATATTGTCATTCGTCGTCCGATTACGTATGTATGAAATCGTATTCGATGGAAGAAAGATATTTGTCAGGAGAGAAAGGATTCTGGATATCGCACAATGCATTTCGCATTACGAGTTGACATTTTAAAGTAGAATGTGTTTTTTTTAAGAATGTGCTGCTATTTTCTCGCAATGGTAACAATGTATCAATGGACAGGTTGCGTCAGTGGCCCTCATATTTCCGATGATTTATATCCGGAGACGCGTAATTGGACGCCGCTGTTCAACTTCCTACATGCTGCGCAACGCTCGCATTCAATATAGATCATCCGCAATTGCAGCTAGTAACATTTCCGCATTTTCTCACTCGCGATGCTTCGATGAACACGGATCGAAAACTTGAAAACTTGGGATTAAATATCGAATCTAAAAATATTTTTCACAATATTTAATAATAGATAAATATTTCGAGAATGCTTGAATAAAGAATAAAAATCTATAGATATAAGAATACAATGGGTAATATTTTAATCTCCTTAACTTTAATAGAATTGTATTTTAATTAATGTTACACGATATTCTTCGAACGAATTAATATTGTTCGCATTAGGCGATACATTAAGCAACAAAAAGTATATAAATATATTTAAAATACACTAAATAAAATAAATAAAATATGGGTTAAGTAAGATATGAAAGTAATGATAAAAAAAATATCCAGATTAATAATACGCATCCTCGTTACGTTACTATCATCCACAATTCTAACAAACGTTAATATGAGTACATATCGTCGATACTGTAAAGGTAAATAGTCAATACTGACGGATCAATAGTTGTGCAAATGATCCCATAATTACTCGTTCATCTCGAATAGCTTTAATTAGTATTTCTTTCTTATACGCATTTGCTTACTTGGCGCATACGCTTCAAGATCCTTCACGATCATTCGACACCAATGCAATCGCTTACTCATCAATTCTTCGAGCCAATGCGTAAGAAATCTTGATATCTCCTTTCTTCTTCGCGACGAGTATCAATTGATAATTTAAAACTATTTTCGAAGCATTATGTTTTTGCACGATTTAGTTCATGCGCTTCAAGATATTTTGATGATCCTTTTTTTTTTTCTTTTCTTTCTTTTCTTCTAGGTTTTCGCTTAGAAATTCCAGTTATTGATTTAAAATTGTGCACGTAATCATCTTTTTTTCTCGTCGGATGCCGCGTCATCAATTTCCTTGAATTATATTCCGTCGTGATTGTCATCTTTCTCGTTTTGTTTATTCATTGATATTCTCAAGAATAGATCGATCGTTGCGTGACAACGGATGATTTTTTTTCGATGAAAGAGCCATCCTTCTATCATAATATGCTCTTTTATGCTCGAACATTCTATTCGTGATCATTTTCTTTTTCTTAGTCAGTTTCATCAACGTTGTCTTTGTGTTTTTTCATGCTTCTTTTTTAGCTATTTTTCCGGATAATTTCATCTTTTCGCAATGTCTGATGCCTCTTTATGCTTTTTCTTCGTATACTCGTAAATTATTTTCCTTTTTTTTTTTTCTAATTTCAAATATCCTTTTACACATTACTATCACCAGTTTCGATCGATCCTCTTCAGCTTGGCCCCCAAACTAATCCTTCTTCTTTTTCCTTTTACCTTTCTTCTTCTCCTCTTCTTCTTTAACCTCCTTTTTCTTTTTCTCCCACGTTTCCTCCTCTTCCTCTTCGATCTCCTTCTTCTTTTCCGTTTTTTCACCGACTTCATCCTTTCCCCCTTTTTCTTCCCTTTTAACCTTATCTCTCTTCCCTTTTGCATCAACTTTCTCCTTCGCTTTCTTCCCCTCCTCTTTAACCTCGATCGATTCACGAGCAACCTTATCTTTCACCTCCTCGATCTCACCTTCTCCTTCCTTCCTCGAACGATCGTCCCTCTCCTCCTCCCCGGAACCTCCCCTCCTCTTCTCGTCAACATTTGTCGAAGAACTCTCTTCTTTCGCGCTGGTTAACGAGTTTTTCTCAATTCCTTGGGAGGAATGACTCCAGCTTTTTGCGTCACCCGATCCCTCCTCAGGTCCCGTTGATACCGCGGGTCCATCCCAGCGTTTTCTCTCGCCGCCACCTGTTTTTGCATCAACCCCTTCCAAAGACGGCAGAGGAGCGGCCGAGTGAATAGCGCGTTTTTCGCCATCAATTTCTTTCGCGCCTTCTGTTGATTCCCGATAACCGACCCTCCGACCTCCTTCTTTCACGCTCGCCTCCCTTGATCCGTATCGTTTCGAGTGGCCAGAATCACTTTTGTCCACGTCTACTTAGGAAAGTGTAATAGTTTTCTCCTTTCATTTGTCCGCCTCGTGAAAGATATATCAGATTCTCCCAAAACTTATTCCTTTTTTTTTTTTTTTAGAATAGCGAACGAATCGTAGCGCTCATTCGATGTTTTAGTTAACTTTTCAAAATAAGGGAAATCGAACGTCGAAGCATCAATGAAAAATAAAACACATCGATAGGTATTTTTTTTTTAATTAGAACACGAATAAGAATTTTTGGGAAAATCTAATATTTTCAACAGTTTTTTTAATTTAATTTTCTAACGCGTTTTACCTGCTGGTTTTTTTCTGTTTGGGAAAAAAGGTAATCCTATCCCTGGAAAATATAAAATACTATGAAAAATTGATTTTATCTTTCGCACCCTATCGGTTTCATCGGTTGCGCTTTTACTATATTTTTATTGTATTATCCTATTTTTTTTTCTTGTTGTTGTTGTTTCACTCTACAGAGGATTAATAATTTGTTCGTGTTACCGATGCGTTTTTTTTATTGGTTTTTCAAATATTCAGGTTTACCTACAGTTCGTAAAATATTTACCAAATATTTTATAAAAAAAAAAAAAAAATACCGTGCATAAATATTTACCAATCATATACGAATTACCTTTTTGAACGTTGCTCGCGATATCTTCTATCGCTTTTCCAATCGTGCCGATAACGTTTGAGATCATCGAGGCGAATATATTATCCTTGCCAAAAATTTTCTCTAACGGGGACGTCGCAACATGCTCGCCTTCTTTTTTTTTTAAATTAAACAAAATTAAACGTCACAATTTTTATCCGATAAAGAGGCAAACGACAGAAACAAATCGAACATCGATTCTATCGCGGTTAATTAATTTGAATAATTTTTAAAATCAAATTCAACAAGGGGATACAATCTATTACCGTTATCCTCCTTCTGTGCATCGAGCTTCTTCGAATCTTCCGCCTTTTTGTTCCCGTTCAAAAATTGAAATGGAAAAATTTTATTGCTCCACGATGTTACGCTTTCGAATAATCCTAACGGTTCCCTCTGCCCCACTATCTTTGCCTCCTCCTATTAATTGTCAAAGATGTACAAATCTAATTACAAATTCACATTCACACGAGTTGAAATTTCGTAGTTATAAATTGTGCTATCTAAAAATTCAGATATACCGATTTCTCATTGATTCCTGGATACCCGATCACCCACGGCACCGATGTCACCAGTAATATCACGGCTACGTTCATCTTCCTCGTTGTCTCGACTACGATGGCCACGGAGTATCGATTATATATATATATATATACTCGGTTTGACAATTGCAAAAACATCTCGTTATATGGGATCGTATAGCAAGAGTATAAATTATGGCTTCCTGAAACCTGGTTTGCCGGGTTTTTACGATAACAGTGTTTAATATGCTTATCGTGTTGCTCATTGGCGCAAATCAATTTTCAGGCTTGACATTCGAGGGCATGTTCGTTTCGAGCAATCGTGCGTTACAGATGCTATACCTTCTATGCGCTATGTTTTCGCGTATTTGTATTGTTAATTAAGTGGAATGGTTCGATAAAACGAATGGGTTTAATCGTTCCGTTTCGTGTTAATGATATGATAAACATATGATAACGTTCACGAAGTAATAATTGCAAATTTGATATTGGAATAATCCAGCAGATAGTAGAAGGTAAACGTAGCGAAGAATAATTTTAATTTAAAACCATTCTGTGTTTTTAAATTTATTTGACACTTTTAAAAACTGTCTCTTTTCTTCTTCTTCTTCTTCTTTTTTTTTTTATCAGAAAATTCCAGACTTCTCGCAACAAATAATAAAGAGTCGTTCTCCGAAATAAAACACAAACTGATAGGCGAGGCTCATCCCCAGCACGATGTCGCCCATGATCTTAGAATATTACCTATTTTCCGCTTGGCTGCGCCGGATGAACCAACACGCTTCTCTTCCTTTTTTTCACTCTTCCTTCCGTGCTCTCCTTCTCGTGCCTCGCGCTGTCTTCATCATTGAAGAAAAAAAAGCAGAGCAAGGGGAGGAAATTTGTTTCGTTACGTTGCGATCCCGATGTTCTTCCATCCGTCCATTCCCATCCGTCGAGGGGAAAAATTTAAAAATTTTTCGACGATACGAACGTGAACTCGAACTGATATTCGACTCACGTCCAGGTTTCCTTCCCATCGATTCATCGCACTTCCCACAGCAATTTCTCCGTGTCGAGAGTGAAACGTTTCTCCATAAAACCGCCATCTTCCTCAGCGTCTCGGAGGGCGCCACCGCCGCAGCGGAGGAGGGAACATTTTTCGCCGAGATACCCGGTTAAATCAGATCTAATGCGTTTAGATACCGATCGAAATGAAATTTCAGCGAAAGCTCGAGCAGCAAAACGTAGGTAATCACGTTAAGCCGAAAGTGGCGGTTCCTCGTTCTCAAGCGGGTCCGTTGTTTCGTTGCGAGCGAAGAACCTCGATCGGTAATTTAATAGCCAGGTAAACGAGGTAAGGGGAAAAAAAAAAAAAAAAAAAAAAAAAAAAAAAAAAAAAAAA